AAAGTTTGTCGTTAGTAATGGCTGACTGCCGAAAAGAAATCAACAATGGCTGAGTTATACAAGTAGGACTTCTTTGTTTTATCACAACTGAGTAAGATTTGGTTCAACTACGTCAACATCAGTCAAATCCAAAGTAAGCTAGGTGGGAATTGATCTATGGTCAATTACTTAATATTAAATTTAGTGTATTATTAGTCCAATATTATATTTATCGTGTGTTATGTGTCCTACTTTTAGACTAGAAATTCACCACTAGTTATTGTGGTGTTATTTGTCAGAAAATTTCATGAATATTATAGTGAAATATTGTAATATATGCATATTCATATTTACTGTTTAGATTTCATTTAGTTGTTATAAAGAAAAATAAATAAAAGATTAGTTTAGTAATTTTGTGTACGAAAAAAGATGTATTTGTCAATTAATTTAACAAAAAATGTATTAAAAAAAGTAATGAATATAAAAAGACAAACACCAATAGTCTTTATTCATAAAGTTATGATCATAATTGATGGTATTGTAGGCCATTTTTAAATACTTTTTGGTTTTATTTTTACACAAAAGTGATTATAAAAAAATATTTTTTAATTTAATTTATAAGTGATCAAGAAATTTTAATTCCCCTATAATTTGTGCATATTTTGCAAATCAATTGACTGAAGTGTTTAGGATCGTAATTATTCTTAATAATATCTTGTTGAACTGGCCATACCATGTTTGGGTTGCTAATCCCTGGTTTGGGCCATGAAATATTGAACGATCAATTAGGACTTGTTTAGGTCTAGTCCAGTAATATTACAGTTGGGTCTTCCTACTTGAGGTCCAAAGTACTTATCCATTTGAACTCTTGGGCCTAATTGCACCATAGGTCCACTTCAACACAAAAAAAAACTCCAAACAGATGCCTTTTCCTGCAGCATGCAATAGAAACAAAAGACATACCTTTCCTCCAATACCATCTTACACTAAAAATAATAATCAAGAAAACAGAAAAAAGACTGTCAATTTGGTTAAAGCTTGTCTTTTTATCTTTGCTTCCTAAGCCCACTTTCTCTATCTCTTTTGGACTGGGATGGTGATGGATTCACGGATACGAATTTAGCAAAATCCAGTATTTTAATTTGAGATCAAACCTTATAGTATATATGTACAAAAAGTTACTAATAATAAATATAGTTAGATATATATTTCAGGACGTGTAAATTCTTGATTCGCCACAAGGGTGTTGAGAAAAGAATGACTAGGAAAGTAAGATGAAAAAGTCTATTGCTTTTGGAGAAGTTATACCAAACATAGTTGCAAAGATTATGTATAATGCTGGAAACAGCAAATGTAGTACATTAGTCTCCCTCTTTAAAAGTAAACTCTACTAACTTTCTGTTTAATTTTTTCTCAAGTTTTAGAAAGTGTCATCAAAAAGGGATTAGCATTTGGAGGACATAAATAAACTTCAGCAAGCTTTGCCTTTTCCAAAAATAGAAACAAAGAGTACTAGTCCTGTCTAAGCTACAAATGCACATAGACAATATTTAATAGTAGCTAAGTTTTCGTCACCAGGCACCAGGCACCGGAACAGGAACCTGCAGTAATACTAATTGTTTAGCCAGATGAAAAGGAACATTTATGACTTGGGTGATGGAGAATTTGCAGCAGCAATTGCTGCTACCGCGTTTGCTATATGTTCCCTTGAGGAAAATGCTGGCTCTCAATATCAGACAAAAACAAGAAGACCTGTTATTAGGCCAGCAGAAGCAGGTAAATGTCAACACTATACATAATTTTCCTGGATTATTAGTACTCCTAACATGTTAGTTACCATTTCTGCTAGTGACCTGTTTGTGTAAATATCATTTACATTGCAAGAGCATAGAACTTAAAAGTCATTTTTCCTTTAGCAAGATATCATGAGGATAAATTGCTTAACATGTTCTATTTGAAGCTCCAATGAGAAGGACATCCACGATGAATCGTAAAACTTCAGCAGAAATAGTGACCATAACTCCTGCTGCTAATGATAAAATGCAAAAGGGCATTTCAAGAGTTAGCAGAAATGCTGAAAACAAAGCTGATGCTTGGGAGAAAGCTCAGATAGCCAAAATAAGAAAGCGGTACAAGTTTTATTATTGATTGTTCTTTATGTTATAAAAGTTGATGATTTCAGTTCACCTAGAACACAACTTTCTAAATTTTTTGTTGCAAGACATTGTAATTAGTGGCATCTTAATAAGAAATATTCTCAAATTTCAGACATGATGAACTTCTTTCTGCGCTTCTTGCTTGGGAGAACGAAAAGAAGATGATGGCGAAACAACATATGGAAAGGAGAAAGGTTAGTACTCTCCAAGTTTTGAAGCTGTTATAGTGCAAAATGCTTAGTGCTTAAAAAGACTTTTATTGGGAAAATGCAGAATCAAGTGGAGCTTGCTTTGAAAAGGAACTTGCAGCATTACAAAAACAAACTAGCGAGGATTAATCATATTGCCAAAGGAGCAAGAACACAAGCAGAAGAGAAAAGAAGATATGAAGAAACCACAGTGAAAGAGAAATCAAATAAGATTAGATCAACAAGGACTGGACCTGTTACATGTTACTGCTTCTAACTGTAAAAAAGTATACAGCACCGGAAAATGAATCCTGTTAAACTCTATTTACACAAGAATTGTGCTCAACTCATTGATTTTATATTGAAATCTGTCTTAAGAATTGTTGCCCCAGGGTGCAATGATTGGTTTATAGAAATAAAAAAATGCATTAATCCTGTTATGCTGAATTTTATTACTAGATGAAATGTATGTAATCGAAAGCAAAAACAACTCATACCAATCAAGTGTTTTAAGTGATAATTGCTGCTATTGTTCTGTGTTTCAACACTGGTATAAATCTATCACTGGTTTGACATGTTTATGCGTTACTGGTTCCTGGAAGAATCTATATTTCCATAGGCTAAACCCTTTCATACACAACCAATAGAGGTCTTCTTGACATATTTTGTAACCTCTGAAAAAAACATGCTGTCTCCTGCTTCTGCTGACATTCATAAACTTCGATTGACAAACTACACTCACTATTTCTCAAAACGTAAATTTTTGTCATTTTCATTCGATAATCTATGTATGCTAATGAGCATGCAGAATTCAAAGGTGGCCCTTTTTTGCCTGATGATGGACCAATACAGTAACATGTGACCAACCGGCTGTCTCAAACAAAATTCCAACAGTAGAATTATAGCTCACACGGGAAGAGTTATTAGAACCACGAATTTTGCTTCTCAGAAGCCAGCAGGGCTAGCTAGAGACAGGGACTTCTATCTCAATCATTAGGTTGACCCTAGTGCCTGATGTCTGTAAATTACATGTACCCAGTATTTACACCAAACCAAGCAATCTAACCTTAGCGGTTAAAGATTAAAGTGAGAATACATATCAACTAACCATAGTATAGTTTTAAATGTGTATTTAAAAGACATAGGTCATGGCCTAAGAAAGTTGGTTCCAAGATTCGAACCTTGGCCACATGTACAAACGTAGAACATTTCTCATTACTCCAAGACACGCCTTCTTGCATCCCAATCACGGAGAGAAATAATCCCTTTACTAAGAATTTGAATGGTAAAACTGATTGTGAACTGTCTCTATTTAGCTATTGATGGAGATCCATAATAAACCCCATTTTCAACATCTAAGTGTGGCCGTGCAATTTCCAGGTATCGTATATCAATCTGAGACATCAATTAATATGGATCACGTGGAAACAAGAAATACTACAAAATTATTGATCACACAGGTCTAGGTAAATCCTTTTCTGTCAAATTGATTATGGGTGCCCACCTGACTTCCCTACATGAGACCATGTCTAATTAAGAACTTACAATAGAGTGCAGTATAAGTTGAAATGTTTGTTGTTGTCGTTAAGAACATTCAAAATGTCTACCCAGAATCAACTGTGACTTGACATGTCTCCAGAACCAGTGGCATAATTGGCAAGAGTTTAAGTTTGACACAACAATCATGTCACTTGCAAAGTAATTACCAGTATATCTCTATAACTAAAATTAATTGACAAGCTGGTAAAAATGATAACCAACCTACTATGTCATGTTAAACTACAGCAACAGTGTAAAATTTGTTATGCTATCAGTGTATATAACTTAAATCCAGTTGACAAGCTTGGAGGTACTTGGGAAGTCCTAAATCCGAGGGATCCCATAAATGAGGAGTAAAATCTTCTACATGATGACAAGGTGTTGCAAAAACACTTTGACATGTTTGATTCATAACAAAGCATACCAACTTAGAGAAAACATGTTGTCCCTGCATCAGCCTGGTGCATAAGCTAGCAAGTGAATGACATGTAACAACAAAAGTGCTGATGTTATCAGTAAGAAATTTGTAATTACATTAACAACTTATACTAAGGATACCAAATTTTAATCTAACAGCGCTTAATTAGAACTTTATACTAATGTTTATACGAAATCAGGGATGAGAGTGACAAAAGATAACTACAAAGTACCGGCCCCACCTCATCTTATGAAGTCGGCATAACTTCTATGTGATTGAAATTAATTATATTTTTTAAAATGCTGTCAATTTATTTGAGTAGTTGTTGCATCACTAGTCAAGCAACCAAAGTCAGATAGAGAGGCGGCAAATTTGAACGCATTGAATGTTTTTAACCCCATCAAAAAGGAAAATATCTTTGTTGGAAGTTACTAATTACAATGAAGAAATCAGTTCCTGATCTTTAGGTGGATAAAAATTTTGCTCTTTCATTCTTTAGAGTTCTATCATCAAGGAAAAAGAGTAAAACAGATACACTAAATTGCCAAAACTTATCCATTTGAAATCCAGGCTTTTATTGCTACAACACATAATGTGCATACATTAAATATTCAGCTAAATATGACAATCCTGTAGGGGACCAGAAGATACTGAAATAACGTTTTTAGTATAAAAGAGGGAAAGCCAACTCAATATATTAGGACTGGCAGTAACTGAGAACTTATAAGGGTAGACCCTATCAAAGGCATCAACATGAGTCATCATACGTGGAATTTTAGTCACCAAAAACAAGAAGAACAAGTAGTAGAAAAAGAAGTAGAGGAGAACAGATATCCTCGTAGCCACGTGCATAACCAGCAGAATCAAGTTGACCCCATGTATGTTCTTATTATACTAGCTACTAGTAACATTTTTCTTCAACATCTCTTTCTTTCTACTAATATGATATCTAAAAATTCAGGTCCAATAAGTGTGAAGTTGCAGAGTTAACATGGGAAAATGGGCAAGTAGCCATGCATAGACTTGGAAGCAACCTCTCCAATGAGCAAACAAAACACACATGGGGAAAGGCTGGTGACACACTAGAGTCAATTGTGCATCAAGCCACTTTCCAAAAACAAAATCATAGTTATATAATGGGAAGTGATGGACAAAATCAGGCAAACATCAACAGGGACAAAAATGTATCTTATGGTGCTCAACAAACAAGAGGAGTACTAAAGAGGATGAGATCATCAGATTCTGACCCCCAATTATATATTGGTGGAATATCACTAGAACATTTAAACGCTCGTGCAAGTGCTAGGGACAATGATATCACCATGGTAACATGGCCTTGTAACGAGGATTCTGCCTGCCATGGTGGCTCGGTAATTAAACTTCTTACATACTTGCTAAATAAAAAAAAATTGGATGCTATAAGTATCTTATAATAATCAGTCATGTCTCTTCGTTTAAAAGTGATCGCTAGCCAGCTAGTACGATGATCAAATGCAAATATCAGTAGCTAGTCACCTAGCTAATGTCCCACTATACATTCTTGTACTATATATAGTACTAGTACTTTGGAATTATATTTTGCAGTGATATGTATACTTCTTTCAAATACATATATGTTATCAAACTCTAATGCATATTGGATGACTTGTGACAGGAAAACAAGGAGGAATTAGAACGTGAAACAAAAAGCTCCAACCCATCAAAACGTAGTCGAAGAGCTGCTGTTCATAACCAGTCAGAGCGGGTATGTTGTATTTAATTAATGCACCTTACGACAAGTTAGCTAGCTAGTGTATTTATAGAAAGTGAATGAATAGTATTTACAACTTGGCAATGGCCTTTTATATATGACTATATGAACACACTAGTTACCCATTGTTTTGTTTAATTTTGGTGCAGAGACGCCGTGTTAGAATCAACGAAAAGATGAAAGCTCTGCAGAAGTTGGTGCCAAATGCAAGTAAGGTACGTAGTCGTAACTACCACATATGCAAGTCTAACCAGTAATATTTGATCTAGCTATATACACAGGATAATTTTCTGACGAAGGATGTCCAACTGATCATAGATATATATATAGGAGGATAATGTAATTTTTTCATGACATAATTATATGTATGTACAGCAGACAGATAAAGCATCAATGTTGGAGGAAGTGATAAAGTACTTAAAGCAGCTTCAAGCACAAATTCATATGATAAGCTATGCTAAAAACATGGAGCAACAAATGTTGATGATGATGCAACCACATATTCAAATGCCATTACTAGCAAGAATGAGTGGTCTTAGTCTTGGCATGGGCACTGCAGGAATGATTAACAATATGAGTGCTAATTTAGCTCGAGCTCCTTATCAGTCTCCCCTCATTTATCCAACTTCAATTGCCACTCCTAGTTGTCATCCCTTCATGTCTCCAGCATTTGGCATGGCCCCGACCGTTCATACTCAACCGTCACAAGTAGCTAATTATGGTGATGCCGCCAGCGCCACAGTCACCAAAGCTGCAGCTACTGCTCCCAATATTGCAACCACTTCATTATACCCTTTTAATGACCCCTATAATGCATTTTTAGCCCAAGTAAGTAATTTATACGAAATTTTGGTACGTTCAGATACATGGAGTTCAAATTAGGTGTAATTTTGTTGTTGTATTCAAGTGGATTCGCATGTATCCATCCGACTTAATTAATTTATTAATTGGCTGTTAATTTCAAATATACAGTCAATGAAGATGGAGTTGAATAATGAAATGGTAGCCCAGTATATGCAGCAGGTCAATCAATCTATGCAGAGCAAGTTCAACCAAGAAAACGTCAATATCCAAGGGCAAAAGGAATGACCAAAATATTATATATATACTCACATTTTTCTTACTAAACACTCGTGCATTATTTGATGCATTTTAAGTATTTCATATAATAAATTGCGGTATCGTCTTATTAAGTTTAATTTACTGCGCAATATCCTAGCATACTGAATTGCTTTTACTTTTTTTTTTCTTTTCTTTCTTGTAGATAAGTTTACTTGAGCAATATGTATATATGTCAAGTTTGTTATTTACATAGTGATCTGAAATTGAAGTAAAAAGCATATTGGAGTATTTTTGGGCTGGTTTGAGAGGTTAATGGTTTCGTTTACATCCTCAATCTTCGAAAAAAATAATAATTATCTCACCTTCTAAACTAAGTTTTTAGAAAAATTCATTCCAATTTAGGATTAGTGACGACCATTTACGTACCTAGTAAGACCAAAACTAACCAATGGACTCATAATATGTATAGATTCGTAGCAAAATTAACCAAAAAATAATTTAAATTTATTTCGAAATATGATAATTAAGCGAAGTCAAAACTCTAATTTTGATACCACTTAAAAAAAAATCATGAGTACGTTACTGACTTAGCGTATAGAAAACTAAGCCCTTCCAATTTCCATGGAATCAAAGCATGTTACGATGGATCTCACATATAGATGATTCTTCGTCAATCATCACCACTTAAAAGAAAACAAAAAAGAGGGACCAATGGAAGATCTCAAAATGATTTGGTGTAGGTTCTACACGAAGCCGCATACGACCTTCATATTAATCACTTCCGTTATTATTTTTACTCGTCAGATTTCGCTTTTCGAGAGTCAGGACTTTAATCAATATTTTAATATATATATTTTTATCATATTAATATAAAAAAGATTATAACTCGTAATATTTTTTATATAGTTTTTGAACATCTAAATCATAAATTTAAAATATTAAAGTTAATCTAATTAATTTAGCAGAGAGGATAAAATAATTGGTGGGGAATTCTAGAAATTATAAGAGTTGAATATTGCAATAAAGTCTTGTCCCTACATGTATGTATTAAATTACAAGATGCTTAGAGAAATTAAGGGCTTTTAAATCAGGTTGGACCATTTTGTATCTTAATTTGTCATAGGCTGGACCTAATAGAAATGGACATTGGAGTTATATGTGTGTACATTGAAAAGGAAAGACAATTGTTTTCTTTTCCATATAAGCTTTACAATATTCTATATGTGTAATAGCAACTTGACGATAAATCTCTTTCAAAGACATTTCAAGATGCATATCATATATATAATTGGTACACGTTTGTTGGGTTCCTTTAGTCGATATCACTGGTTATAAAAAAGAGAGTAAATTTTAGGAATATCAAGCATAAAAATTATATTAGCGTTCTATAACTATATTTTTGCTATTTTCGCTTCATAGCCAAATTATGTTTGCTATGGAGCATCTGATTTAATTTGTATAAATTGTGGCAATTTATATAAATCACGACGATTTGTATAAATCGGGCGTCCGTGCTATGAAAATTTGTGTTTGTATATGTATATGTTCTTTGTGTTAGGCGAGAGTGGCGAATGAGATTAGGAGAGAGAGGAGAGAGGCGAGCGAGAGAGGACAGAGAGTGGAGAGATGTGAATTGTATATGTATATCTGTATATATGTAACTACTATGTATATGTATCAATCATTGTGTTTGTATATCTACATAAAATTTGAATCTGTATACAATTGAATCGAGTCAAAACATTTGTATTTATATATCAAATCTCTCTCGCTTTATACAACCACAAACTATACATTGTATTTGTATAAAGCGAGAGAGAGAAAGGCAAAAGAGAACTGGACAAGGAAAGATTTGTATTTGTATAAATTATAAGTGTATAGGACGGAGAGATATGTATTTGTATTTGTATATACAGTCTCTCTTGCCTTATACAAACACAAACATAATTGATACATTTGTGTTTGTAGAAGTGAGGGAGAGAACTGAGAATGGCGAGCGAGATTCAGGGCTGAGAAATTGATTGGCTCGGCGAATGGCAAGAAGTTTGTTGCGAATTGGAATTAAATGAAATAGTAGCTATAACATTTATTTTGAATTAATTGTTTGCTATAATGCACATTTTTTCTCAAAAAGAATCATTTATCGAGTGATAGAAATTGATTGACATCGTCGATAGCATTTTTCGATAAAATAATTGAAGAGTCACTCAGTAAAAAATAAAAATAATTAATTTTCAATTTTTTTGAAGGAGCTGATGAATATCTATCGTAAGAATTAATTCGATCATATTTTTCCTTCAGATTCAATAGCTATAAGTATGTTATTTACAATAAATGACTACATTTTTATATCTTTTTTTCTCTGTATTTTTGTATACTTTTTTATTTTTCTATTTATACACTAATACATCTTTAAGTACAATAAACTAAATAATGAATTGCCTCTAAATATAACCCACTGTCCTAATTTACGTCCATACAATGAGCAACTTTCCATTATTAACATTAGAACTAATAATTACTTATTTAAAGACATACCCGATCATATTCTTGTCAGTTTAAATACTTCATTCTCTTGTTGTCTCAAAAGATGTGGTATTGATATGTCATAATAATGACTGAATAAAACTTAGAGAAAACGTTAATTAAAAAATCAATGAAGGTAAAAACTAAAATACATTTAACCAAAAATACATAGGAATACATACCCATATATTTAGGATACCTTTTGAGTAAATATACAATTATTGAATAAAAGTGATTTTATTTGCATACAACTATTTTTTATTGGATTTAACTTTAAACATGAACATGTTATAACCAATGTGTGTATTTTAGGAGCCACAATAAATCCTATTATAAATTCATCCTGAACAAAGTTATGTTACCGATATTCCTTGATAAAAATGGCTAAAGAAGACGAAATTGTGTGAACAATTACTATTTAGCAATACTAATATACATAAATATAGTTAAATAAGATACAACGAATATGCATACAAAAATATGGTTAAATACTAATATACATAAATATAGTTAAATAAGATACAACGAATATGCATACAAAAATATAGTTAAATGCTAATATACATAAATACAGTTAAATAACATACCACAAATATGCATACAAAATATAGTTAAATAAGATACAAAGAATATGCATACAAAAATGAAGCCTATCAACTATTCTTAATTGCCCAGAAAGAAATTCACTTATTCATTAATTAAAATACTTTAAGCCAAATTAAATAGGCGTGAAAGAGAAAAAGTTGATGATGGTAAACATTGGGAAAAGATCACGTAAAACGTGCCTGCAATAATTAATTAGGCATTCAATAATAACTTTCCTATTTTGTATTTATTTATATTAAATGTATATAAAAAATTATTTATTTGTATATAATTAACTTTGCTATTTATTGTGTAGTTATATCCATATATTATGAAAAAAATAAAATATAGCTATTTTTCTTGAATATATAGGTACGTTTGTCATATTCTGTAGTTTTTCCTTGAACTAAAGCTACGATAGAATCACACAAGTAATGATAAAAGGGAAGATTTCTTTCATCACCATTGTATTGCGGTTACACCACAATTTAATTTAATTTTGCAAGTTTTTTTAGTGAAACTTTTGGGCCCATTTGCTCTTAGCCCGTCGAAAATTTACTGTAGTCAAAAGTTTAACTTTAGATGGATTCTAAATTTTAGAAAGATGATTTCATGTTAATAATTGAGTCTAAACTTAATGTATATATTTAATAAATTTCTTTATTATAAATAAACTATTCGAACAAAAATTATTGACCCAACAGAACCCGTATGCGGATTTCTAGCTCTGCCCTTGTTGATGCACATCTATAATTATTTATTTGTCGAATGCATCACCAACTGAATTAAGAAGATTAATGTTAGTTTCTTTCCCCTATTGTACGAAGTGTAAAATTTGGTGATCAAGAAAATAATGGAGAATAAAACACAAATTTTACTTACGGAAACAAAATAAATATCCATGTCACATATATATATATATATATATATATATATATATATATAAATTACTTCAATGGGATATAAATCTCCATGTCACATATAATGCAAAAATTGTATAAAATAGCAAACTGTTAATTCAAATTAAATGTTATAACCATAGTTTGATTTAATTGTAACCTGTAACAAACAGTTGTCATTTGCCTCTCTCCCCAGATTTCTCGCTCGCCACTCTCCATTTCTCGCTCGATAGTCTCTCTCGCCTCTCTCCCCAGATTTCTCGCTCGCCACTCTCCATTTCTCGCTCGGCAGTCTCTCTCTCACCTCTCTCACTTTATACAAACACAAATGTATAAATTACGTTTGTGTTTGTATAAAACGAGAGAAAATTGAATAAATACATGTCTTTTCGTTCGCCTCTCTCCCCAGAGAATCTCGATCGCCACTCTCCCAGATCTCGCTCGCCACTCTCTCTCGCCTCTCTCACTTTATACAAACACAAATGTATAAATTGCGTTTGCGTTTGTATAAAGCGAGAGAAAATTGTATATACAAATACGTATATTTTCGTCTTATACACTTATAATTGTACAAATACAGATCTTCTCTTGCCCAGTTTTCTTTTGTCTTTCTCTCTTTCTCGCTTTATACAAACACAGATTATACAATTGATTCTTTTGTATATATATACCGAAACAGATTATACAAATGATTTATTTGTATATGTATACTGAAATATACATATTAAAGTTTGCTATGGAGCGCGATTATATAAACTATAGCTATAACATACAAATATGATTTTTATGTTTGCTAAACCTAAAATTTACTCTATAATTTATGCTTTTCAAGGGATATATACGTAAAAAATATATTTAAGCTATCTATATAGTATAATTTTCTCACTATTAGAGTGATCATATTTGATCTTCCGTAACTAAATTGCTATGGCATATTAAATTAAACTACACATAATTACGTAATTCTATTTAGAATTTCAATATCTTTTTGGACCTAAAAACAAATTTATAGTATAA